ACACACACTGTTTTAATATATATACATATATATATATTTTTTTTTTTCCATATATCCTAACCAGGTGATAAGTGTCCTAAGTCTCTTTTGATCTAAGCCTTCCTCCCTAAGTTTGTTCTTCTATTTTATGTGCTAAAAAAACTGGACAGTTTGTCATGAATCCTCCAACTATCTGGATTTTGACAACTGAAATTCAGTGGTGTTCTTTAACAGTGATTGTCAATATATAGGTTGTAATATCTTGAAACTTCATCAGATTCAGGTTAATTTCAGAGTATCAGTAAGTGTTTCGTCTACTTCCAACAGGAAACACACAATGACTGACTAACTCTCTTCTTTGTAACTGATAATGAACACCTAGATCTAATTTTATCATTCTTTCTTCATTTATTGTCTGGACTACTCCTTGAGGAAACTCCTATTTATCAACTATGGTTTTCGTGAAGCAGTTTATATAGGAAAGAAAAGATGTTTGATTTTTCTTTTTAAAACCACTTGTCAAAATAATGAAATCCCTAGCATACAAAAATGAGTAGCAATTTTTTATTTTGTTTTGTTTGTTTTGGTTTGGTACTGGGGATAAAACTCCGGACCTTGTGCTTGCAAGGAAGGTAGTGGAGCGGTAAGTTTTTAAAGTATCAATATGAATTCACAGATTTAAACATATTTAATATATTTCAGTCCCTTGTAGTTATTCTTACGAAAGCTCAATTTATCCCATCCTTGGCCAGGAGACTCTTTATAGTGGCTATTGTTCTGACACAATCTCAGAAATCTTTGATTGGTTCCCTGCCATTTTTTTTTCCAGTCCTGGGCATCAAACTTGGGGCCTTATGCATACTAGGCAAGTGCTGCAACACCTGCAACACCAAGCAACCTTTCTTGCCATTTTATGTGACAAGGTATTCCAGGATTACCCTGTAGTGCCCTACCCCAGGCTGGAATCAATCTACCCTCCAAGTGGGGGATGTTTAGAAATTACAACCTGGGTACCAGGTTGACCACTGCTACCAGGTTGACCATTGTTTTCTAGGTCTTTTCAGTAGGAGAAGGCTAGTAATACTTGTTTTTTAAATAGAAAACATTCAAATTTACAACTCAAACTTTAACTACAAGTTTTTAAAATTTTGTATTTGTGTAATTTTAATCTACAGTAAAATTCTTTCTTAATGACATTAATATAATCATTTGCTTTATCTGACTGTATTTGAGTTTCAGAATAATGATAATGACACTATAGTAAACTGAGTAATAGGCTTCCAAAAGATATCCATACCCCAATCCCTGGAACTGGTGAATATTATACTACCTGATCTTGAGGGGGTGGGGTAAAGGGAAGAAATGCAACTAAATTAAGGATCTTGAGCTGGGGAAATTAGCCTAGATTATTCAGGTGGAATCTATATGCAATCACATGTTCCCTTTTGAGAGGAAGGCAGAAGAGAATACTATATGAACACACACAGGAGAAAAGGCAATTTGACCAAACACAAAGAGTAGAGCAGTATAGCCACAATCCAAGGAAAGCTGGCAGTCACCAGAAACTAGAAGAGGAAAAAGTCTCCCTTCCAGTCTGCAGGGGAAGTGTAGCCCTGTCAACACCTCAATTTCAGGCTTCTGATCTCTGGAATGATACTGTTGTTTGAAACTGTCAAATCCCACACCTGTAATTCCAGAACTTGGAAGGCTAAGGCAGGAGGATTGCTGTGAGTTCAAGGCCACCCTGAGCTACATAGTGAGACTCTTATCTCAAAAAAACAAAAAACAAAAAACTATTACTAACAACATGATTACAAAAAACTTAGTTTTTTTTTTCCTCCTAGTACTCAGGACCTTGCACTTGTAAGGCAGGTGCAGCACCACTGAGCTAAATTTCCAGCCCACTTAAAGTTCTTCTTTTCTGCACTTTTTCATGTCCTTAGGATACATCCTACTGTGAATACATGGTCTAATTAGTGTGTTTTCAAAAATAATTGTGAGGCCAGGGATTTAGCTCAGTGGTGCCACCGCCTGCCTCGCAAGTGCAAGTTCCCAAATTCCACCCCAGTACTAAAAAATAAATAAATAAATAAAAGTTCTGTGTAGCTGTGCTGTAAGTTCAATATGCATTTGATTCATTTATCTCATCTTATTTTGATTTTTAAGGATTATTTAAAATTTTTATCTAGTTTTGTTTTAGAAATAAGTAAAACTTTTTCTTGGCAGGGGATATAGCCCGGGGTAAAGCATGTACTCAGTATAAATGAGGAACGGAGTTTGATCCCCAGCACAATTTTTTAAAAAGCTGCCAGTGAGGGCACCTTCAGTAAGTGTGGAATTATATACTCATTATTCCCTTCTAGACCACTCTTAACATACCTATCTGCCAATAGTATCACTACTTAAATTACCTAATACTTTAGTACAGTAGTTAACCCAATATTTTTGTATTCTTCCTTTGTTTGCATGGCCATATCGTTAGAACAGGTTTTATCACACTCTCTTTAGTAAGATACAATTCAGTCTTACTAAAATTACCTTTTCATTTATATTCTTGCTTACACTGTATCACCTTTCCAATTTTCCTGTGTACTCACACTAGTTGACCTATCCTACCTAAAATGTTGCTCTTGCAGCAAATTACTCTCAGCCCAAAAAACCTCAACAACTACCACCAGCGTATAAAATAAAAATTTGCTGGCCTGACATTCAGGTCTCCTTAGTGCCAACTCCAATTTAGCTAGCTGATGGTATAAGTATGTAGTATCCTCCAAAGACCCATATATTGAGGGCATGATTCCCATTGCATCAGAGCCTTGAGAGGTGACTTGGGTTACAAGGATGCTCACTTTATCAATGGAACCCATGGACCGAGGAGTTTAGGGTGGAAAGGGCTATTAGTAAGCAGGGCCAGTTGAAGGAAAGAGGCCAATGGGGGTGTGCCTCTGAAGGGTACATCTTGTCCCTGGCTCCTTCTGCCCTGGCTCTCTGCTTTCTGGTTGCGATGAGGTGAGCAGCATTCCTCTTTCAGTCTTCTGCCATTATATTATGTCTTGTCACAAGCCCATGGCAACAGGGCCAACCTCAAACCATGAGCTAAAATAAATCTTTCCTTAAATTGTTTTTCACAAATACATCATCACGGCAATAGAAAGCTAGTCAGAGCTGGGGATTTAGCTCAGTGGATCCATAGCCTGTCTTGGAAGCGCAAGGTTCCAAGTTTGATCCCCAGTACCAAAAAATAAAATTTAGCTGGGCGTGTTGGTGCACGCCTGTAATCCCAGCACTCGGGAGGCTGAGACAGGAGGATTGCTGTGAGTTAGAGACCAGCCTGGGCTACATAGTGAGTTCCAGCTCAGTCTCAACTACATAGTGAGACCCTGTCTCAAAAAAACAAAACAAAACAAAGAAAGAAAGCTAGTTAGTTAATCTCTATCAACACCTAACCCCTTACACGAAATCTCTACCACTGGAACCACACCCGACATGCCTTTTTATTATCTGACTAATTTGGACCTTAAGCCTGAGATCATTCATCCCTTCCAATTTCTTTAGTTCACATCTTCTCTCCTTTCTTAAACAATGTAGTGGACAAAGACAATGCTTCTCAAATTTTAATACAAATGTGAATCATCTGAGGATCTTGAAAGGGCAGGCTCTGACTTAGTATTTCCAAGGTGGGGAGTGAGATCCTGTGGGGAGGGAAGGGTTGAATTTAGAATCTATAAACTGACCTATATCCTCAGACCTTTTTGAATTTTCAGACAGAGTTTTGTTAAGCAACCACATGGGCTGGACTTGAACTTGCCATCTCCTGGCTTCAACTTCCTGAGTGGCTGGGATCACAAGTATTACCATGCCCATTCCTAAGAAACTTCCAGATGATGCCAACAGTGCTATTCTCTGAACTCTACTTTGGTATCACAGTATTTTGGCATTTCCACTCATACTATCTAATTCAATTTTAAAATATATGTTTTAGTGCTTCTCCCCGATACAGCTATAACTAATCAAGATGCCAAATAAAGGGTTGGGTGTGTGGCTCAGTAGAAAACAGGCAGGAGGCCTCCAGGTCTTTGTGGATCCTAGGTAAGTACTTTACCACTAAGCTACATCCCTAGGGCCCCCCACCTCACCAAATTTAGGACCTTGCACTTTCAAGGTAGGTGTAGCACCACTGCCTCTTAGAAGAGGTCGGAAATGGGATGGAATTGTATTTTTCTGCTTTTTCTTTTTTCAGACAAGGTCTTGCTATCTAGTTCAGGTGGGCTGGCCTTGAACTTACTGTGATCCTCCTGCTATAGCCTTCTGAGTGCTGGGATTACAGATGTGCACAACCACAGTTGGCTGGAAAGTTACAGTGTTCTTTTAAATCCAACTACTTAGGAGGCTGAGGCAGGATGATTCCAAATTCAAGCCCAGCCTGGGCAATTTAGTGAGACCTTATCTCAAAATTAAAAGAGCTGGGCCAGGGATTTAGCTTATTGGCAAAGCGCCTGCCTGGCAAGTGAGAGATCCTGAGTTCGATCTCCAGTACCATAAACAAACAAACAAATAAATAAATAAATAAAATAAAAAGGGTTGGGGATGTAGCTCAGTGGCAGAACTCCTGTGCAGCATTTGCAAGCCCCAGGCTCAGTTCCAGCATTCCAAAACAAAAACAAAAACTGCATGTATCATGTAGTCAAAGATTTAAAGTTTTTTGTAAAAGCTACATAAACCCCAGAGTGACTCAACACATTACTCAACTTTGCTTAAAGTGGCTTTTGGCAAACTAGATGGCTTTCCAAACCATCTCCACCCAGTGAGTCAGCTGGTAAAAGGGTGGGTCTCACAATGGGAGTCTCATAGTTGGCCTGAAGCCCAGAAACAAGTAGCAGTTGCAAATTTATAAGGGGGGGGGCGTTGTAAAAAACAGGAAGAGTGACTGAAGTTGGGCAACAGCAGACAGAATTTTCTATAACCAGAGAGTTGGCCTGAAGCCCAGAAACAAGTAGCAGTTGCAAATTTATAAGGGGGGGGGGCGTTGTAAAAAACAGGAAGAGTGACTGAAGTTGGGCAACAGCAGACAGAATTTTCTAAAACCAGTCTCTGGGTTGGGAAGGACCATTTAAATCAGTCAGTGAATAAACAAAAGTGGAACCATGGCTAGTCCTCTTGGACAGGTAGACAGCCACCTATCCCTGAGGACTGAAAGCAAGCTTAAATTCCTAATGGCCGAAATTCTCTCCTCTACCTGCAGGTCTAGTCCTTGAAATGCCTTCCCTAGCTTAGAGGTAGTCATCACACTCGGGATGTACTTGGGTTAGCTCGCTATCAGCTGTAGGACGTGTAAAGAAAATCGGAAGGTACAGCGTCTTTCCATTTCTATCCCTTCATGGTGAACATCACCCATCTGTACGGGGTTTTCCTTGGGAAGTGTTCGCACAAGATGGTCAGAAACAGGAATCAAACCTGGAATGCTATTTCCTAGAATCATTTCCAAGAAATGTAAACCTGAGGCAGCGTACAACCTCAGGATTGTGAGTTGTGTCCTAAGGTTCACTACGCACCGTACAAATTTCCCAAGCTGCCCTAAATTTGCTGTGTCACCAGAAGATCTCGTCACCGGCCAGACTTGGCTTTGGTGCTGCTCACGGCACTCCAGCATCGCTCGAGATGGCTTATAGCAAGGCCACCCTTTGGCCGCAGCCCGTCCACCTGTGGTCCACTGACAGGACGTGATCTCTCCCTGGGATTCCCGCGCCGCCCACTGGCACAGAGCAAAGGCTAACAGTACTTCCCTGTCCTCCTACCCCGACGCACCCCGCCCCACTGCCCACACCCTGCTGCCGCCATGCCAGAGCCGCGAAAGGGGCCTCGGCCGTTCCCTGGAGCAGGGCACACGGCGGGGCCGGGGTGAGAAAACCCAGGAAGGCCAGAGTGAAAGGCGAGAGCGCGCGATTTGCCTCACCTGACCCGGGAGCCGCGCCACAGCCCAAC